TGATGAAGGGTCTAGGCCCGAAACGTCAGCCTCTCTGCTCCTATGATGCTGCTTGGCCTGCTGTGTTCATCCAGCCCTGCACCTTGTTGTCTCGGATTCTCCAGCATCTGCAGTTCCTACTACAGCTGTGATAGTGAGTTGTCCATATAGTTTGAACTGGCATAGATTTAGGGGGCCTACTCTAATAATTAACAACCTGTCCCAGATTTATTAAAAGTGCTAATCTATTCAGCTAGAACTAGAGAAACATTTATTTCTAACAACTATTTTCTTAATTCACAAATGCCTTCACTCATTTTATTTCTCGTTTCTGCTAGTCAACCTCATCAGGCCAAGAGGTGATAAATTTGTATTTCTAGTGGTCCATGTGTTGAGATCTCAATCTTATCTATGCTTCCGTAGAGAGCTGCTATGGTGAGCAGAGGACACAATAGAAAATTAAAGCCACAAATACTGGTGTCAGAGTGACATTTCAACAGCTAAGTGGCAATCATTCAACTTCCCTCACAATTCAGGAGGTTCTTTGGTACCAGGAAAAAGAGGAGTAGAAATGGTTAGTGATTAAATGCATCTTTCTGGTTTTATAAAAACCAAGAAAGTCTGTCACTTCTTGGTCTGTGCTGAATGAACTGGTCTTAGCTGGGCCTGTGACAATATCCTATGGTTAGTCTCTACACAGGGAGGGAACATGGGTACAGTGCATGGTGAGGGGCTAATGGGGGTATAACACACTGTGAGTAATAATCTACCTGTTTCTGTGTTTGCAGGAACATGCATGATGACACCATTCCAAATATGGAGGCCTTAAAAGTTACAGCAAATATTGTTTTTGGATACGCAACGTAAGCATTTGTCTGTCCTGATGCAAGTTCACATTCCATAGAATTTTATAAAGTCATCCTGACTTTTCTCTTGAAATTGCAAAATTTAAGCAAATGAAAGTCAAAAGCATCCAAGCTCCAAATAAGTTTCACTGTTTGGTTTTTCTTAAAAATGTGCGATTAGAACCAGCTGTGGTTTGGAAACAGAATTTCTGTCACCTTTACATTTTGCAAATGCTGAGTTATTGAATTTATTTAAATGTTGCTATGTTCCCTGTGGAGACAGATGACTTTGAAAAGTAATTCAAATTCTCATAACCTATAACAAACTAAAATCAAATTGCCTGAACACTAGTAGTCAATCTATATACACTAAACAACAGAAGAGATCTCCCATTTAGTAGTCAAAACAACCAAATACCTCCCTTTGGGTTATGTTTTATGCTGCTCCTTAAGGAGATGCACTGTTCCTAAAACCAGTCCATGGTGATTTTTAGTTTCACGTGGTTTGCTTGATTTCTTTTCCTTTTCCAACTGTAATTTCTAATTATTGAACTGACTTTATTTGAAGTGACTTTCAGTATGCTGGATAACCAGGAAATCTATCCTTCTGGCCAAAGTTAGGTGAATCTTCTACTTTTGTTCAATTTCTCATGAATTTAGTCTCTTTAATCTAAGCATGAACTCTCGATCAATTTCTTGTGTGGTGAACCGTAGAATGTTTCTGCCTTTATCTTCCTGCTATCTCTCTCCCACCTCATTTTAGTCTTGCAGATTTTCACTGTGAAGTTTAGTGATATTTTAAGCAAATTAATAAATCAATCATTACCATGATTTCCTATGAAGTCTAATCCCCACATCCCATCTTCATGGCAAAGTGAATCAAATGGGCCTTGAATCAAGGTAAAATGCCAATTAGTATTCTTTAGACTCCAAATCCTATTCTATCTTGAAATTAAATGCTCAATTTGGTAAGGGATTATAATTTGAACTTAATGTTCTGAAATCCACTTAGAATTTTGACAGTCTATCGGCTGTCAGTACACAGTTTGCATCTTCTTCCCAGTAAGACAAACATTTTCAAATTTTAACAATTAAGCCACACAGGCTTGTTGGTGGGCAGAGTTCATAGCAGGTCATATGACTTCATCCAATCTACCATTTCATCTAAAGTAAAGATAATGCCAACCCATTACAATACTTTAAAATCTTGTATTTGTGATGGTGCAGAAATAATAGACATCTATAGAGCTCGAAAGTAGTACACAAATTTTAAAAGAGGAAGTATGATGTGTGGAATTCAATATTTAATCTTCCTGTTGCTGGACAAATGATCAATGTTATGATGAATTTTCTGACATTTCTGCGAATCATGATGTTGAATACAAAAGCATATAGAAATTATAATGTACAGCACTTTTTTTTTGCTGCTAGATGACGTGGTAAGCATCCAACATTGTGGAAAGTGCACACTTATTGTAAACTGGAGGTGGACCATGGCTCCTTCTTTGGTCAGCGCAGACCCAGTGGGCCAAATGGTCTCCTCTTACACCATTAATCTCCTATGTTTCTATCTGGTATAAGCAAATAATTTAGTTTAAGACTGGAAAACAACAAATTGCAGCAGAAGTAAACCATACAGTCATTTGAGCTTGCTGTACCATCTTATGCAATCCTGATTTCCTGTCTCAATTCGGTGTTCCAGCCACACTCATATTCCCTTGATTTCCTGAGAGATCAAAACTATGTTAAATATATTCTCTGATGCAGCAATGAACAACCATCTGGGCTAAACAATTCCAAAACTTCACAACTCCTCTAAGTGAAGGAATTTCTCCTTGTATGAGTCCTACATAAGGTCATTCAGAAACTCCACCTCCCCCCCCAACAACATTTTCTAGATTCCCGAACTAGTAGAAAAAACCTCTGCTACTCCATATTAAGTGTATCCGAATCTTCTGTTTCAAAGAGATTGCCTCTCATTAATCTAAATTCTAGAATTCAAGGTGAGGGAGAGAAGTCATGGGCTCTGGTGCATCTCCTGTTCCCAGTCCTTAATCCCATCCTTTCTTCTGAGCCTCAACAGTTTCTGTCAAGCACCTTCATGATGGGTTTCTATGGAAGGTCCTATGGAATAGAATAGTGCAGCTCAGAATGGGGCCGTTCAGCCCATTCAGTCTGCACCAGTTCTATGCAAGAGAAAGTCCATCAATTCTATACGTCCCCATTTTTTTGTGTTTATCTGAACTTTTTTAACACCAATGTGAATCTGTACCTCCCAAAATCTCAGGGAAAAAGTGCATTCCAAATCCTAACTCCTCTTGATGTAAACATATTTCCTTGTGTTGCCTTTTTGCCCATCAACTTATGAATTTAAATTTGGGCCAATCTAGTCCCCTTTACCAATGTGATCAGTGCAGTGTATAGGAAAACTAAAGTCTGTTTTGATTTTGACATTACTCTGATTACAGGCTTCAATAGACTAGCAGTCATTAGACTTGCAATCCAGAACCTTAAGCTAATATTCTGAGGACATGAGTTCAAATCATGCCAGTCAGATGGTGAAATTTGAAATCAGTAAGAAGCTGAAATTTAAAAATAAAGCTAATCTAATCACAATCATGTAACCCCTGCTGATTGCTGTTAAAAAACTCTTCTGGGTTTGCTAATGCCCATTAAGGAAGGAAACTGCTGTCTTTATCTAGTCTGGTCTTCATGTGAATCCAGACTCCCAACAATCTGGTTGACTTTTAACTGTCTTCCAGGCATTTAGGGATGGCAATAAATTCTGGCCTGGTCAGTAGCATCCACATTCCATGAATGAATCAAACTCATCCCCTCACACCCTCTCCCCGCAATAACAACCAAAACAGAATCCCCCTCGTCCTCACGTACCACCCCACCAACCTCCGCATCCAACGCATCATCCTCCAACACTTCTGCCATCTGCAATCCGACCCAACCACCAAAGACATTTTTTCCTCCCCACCCTTATCTGCTTTCCGGAGGGATCACTCTCTCCGTGACTCCCTTGTCCGCTCCACACTCCCCTCCAGCCCCACCACACCCAACACTTTTCCCTGCAACCGCAGGAAGTGCTACACCTGCCCCTACACCTCCCCCCTCACCCCCATCCCAGGCCCCAAGAAGACTTTCCACATCAAGCAGATGTTCACCTGCACATCTGCTAACGTGATATACTGTATCCGCTGTTCCCGTTGTGGCCTCCTCTACCAAGCGGAGGCCTGGGGACTGCTTTGCAGAACACCTACGCTCGGTTTGCACTAAACAACTGCACCTCCCAATCGTGAACCATTTCAACTCCCCCTCCCATTCCTCAGATGACATGTCCATCCTGGGCCTCCTGCAGTGCCACAACGGTGTCACCCGAAGGTTGCAGGAACAGCAACTCATATTCCGCTTGGGAACCCTGCAGCCCAATGGATTTCACAAGCTTCAAAATCTCCCCTCCTCCTACTGCATCCCAAAACCAGCCCAGCTTGTCCCTGCCTCCCTAACCTGTCCTTCCTCCCACCTATCCCCTCCTCCCACCTACTAACTTCATCCCGCCCCCTTGACCTGTTCGGCCTCCCTGGACTGCCCTATCTCCTCCCTACCTCCCCACTTACACTCACCTTTACTGGCTCCATCACCGTCTGTCTGTCTCCTCTCCACCTATCTTCTCCTCTATCCATCTTCTATCCGCCTCCCCCTCTCTCCCTATTTATTTCAGAACCCCCTTCCCCTCCCCCATTTCTGAAGAAGGGTCTAGGCCCGAAACGTCAGCTTTCCTGCTCCTCTGATGCTGCTTGGCCTGCTGTGTTCATCCAGCTCGACACCTTGTTATCTCAGATTCTCCAGCATCTGCAGTTCCTACTATCTCTGATACAATTTTAACCCCACTGTGAAGCCTCTTCTAAGGATGCCTACCCTGAAGAAGTTACCCTCCTCCCTCTGGACAAACCTCAGGGGATCTCTCTCCCACTGCAATTCTCTCGTAATCTCTTCGGCCTTGAAACTGCTCGACCATGTCCTGAAGCAAACCAGGTACTACAGCCACATCACCTTTCTTAGTACCTGCCTACGGAACCAGATCATCCCCAATGGACTACAGTCCACATTCAGGCCTTCCCAATTTGGCCCCAACCGTGACAATGTCTACATTCAGAACATTGAGATCCTTCAGAAGTGTTTCTCCCTGCGACTCCTGAAACACACACTCGCAGCAATGCGCCGGCATCTCCAGGCACGACAATCAAACCTACCCCAGCTCAGAGCCTCCCTCTCTCAGACCTACAAAGGACCTCTCCTGTTTTTTATTCTTCGTAGGATCCACAACCTGAACTCACAATTCCACTCAGCTTTATTGGACACGAAAAACCATAAGTACAGTAAACTTACTGGTGCCTACCACCCAAAATGGGCTTCCTCCACCTCCCAAATCCCCAGCTGTACACAGGACCTTCCCCACAATGTGCCCGCCGCCATTGGCCACGTGGTCACTGTCGGGGCACCCACGGATAACGTCACATCCTCTGCCGCTGGGTATACCACTTCCGGGACAGCGAATGCCATCGACACCGCTGCTGATGCCACTGCCTCCATTTCCCAGGCCAACACCACAGACACTGAGGACACACCTACTATCACAGCTGCTGCCGCCGCCTACCCCGCTCCGCCCACTGCCGACGCAGCTCCGCCCACCACCAAAGCCGATGCAACTCCGCCCACCGCCACCGCCGACGCAACTCCGCCCATAGCCGACGCCGCACGGCCCACCACCGACGCCAACGTCACTCCGCCCATCGCCTCCACAGCCAGCAGCTCCAGAGGAGACAGTAGCACCCAGCCGTGCCAAGTCTTCACCATCCCCCAAGACCTCCCCCTTACCGAGGACGAACGGTCAGTCCTCAGTAAAGGGCTCACCTTTGTCCCCCTCCACCCACACATCAACGAATACTGCTCACGCTTGGACGTTGAACAGTTTTTCCGCCGCCTCCACCTCCGCACTTACTACTTCAACCGTGAGCCTAACCCTCCCTCTACTGACCCCTTCTCCTGCCTCCAACACACCCCCTCCTCCTGGACACCACCCCAAGGCCTCCTACCCTCCCTCGACCTCTTCATCTCCAACTGCCGTCGTGTCATCAATCGCCTCAACCTCTCCACCCCTCTCACCCACTCCAACCTCTCCCCCACAGAACGTGCAGCCCTCCGCTCCCTCCACTCCAATCCCAACCTCACCATAAAACCTGCGGACAAGGGAGGTGCAGTTGTAGTATGGCGCACTGACCTCAACATCGCCGCGGCCAGGCACCAACTCTCCGACACCACCATCTGCCGCCCCCTTGATCATGACCCCCGACTACCAAACCATCATCTCGCAAACCATCCACAACCTCAGCACCTCAGGTGACCTCCCACCCACGGCCTCCAACCTCATCGTTCCCCGACCTCGCACTGCTCGCTTCGATCTCCTTCCCAAAATCCACAAACCTGACTGCCCTGGTTGACCCATTGTCTCCGCCTGCTCCTGCCCCACCGAACTTATTTCCACCTATCTCGACTCCATTTTCTCCCCCTTGGTCCAGGAACTCCCTACCTACGTCCGTGACACCACCCACGCCCTCCACCTCCTCCAGAACTTCCAATTCCCGAGTCCCCAGCAGCTCATCTTTACCATGGACGTCCAGTCCCTATACACCTGCATTCCCCATACAGATGGCCTAAAGGCCCTCTGCTTCTTCCTGTTCCGCAGGCCCGACCAGTCCCCCTCTACTGACACCCTCATCCGCTTAGCCGAACTCATCCTCACCCTCAACAACTTCTCTTTCAATTCCTCCCACTTCCTACAGACAGACGGGGTGGCCATGGGTACCCACATGGGCCCAAGCTATGCCTGCCTCTTTGTAGGTTACGTGGAACAATCCCTCTTCCGTAGCTACGCTGGCCCTAAACTCCACCTCTTCCTCTGTTACATTGATGACTGTATCGGCGCCGCCTTGTGCTCCCATGAGGAGCTCAAACAGTTCATCCACTTCACCAACACCTTCCACCCCAACCTTAAGTTCACCTGGACCATCTCTGATACCTCTCTCTCCTTCCTGGACCTCTCTGTTTCCGTCTCTGGCAACCACCTAGAAACCGATATCCATTTAAGCCCACCGACTCCCACAGCTACCTAGAATACACCTTCTCCCACCCACCTTCCTGCAAATATGCCATCCCCTATTCCCAATTCCTTCGCCTCCGCCGCATCTGCTCCCAGGATGAGGCATTCCACTCCCATAAATCTCAGATGTCCTCGTTTTTCAAGGACCGTAACTTCCCCCCCCTCAGTGGTCGAGAACGCCCTCGACCGTGTCTCCTGCATTTCACCCAACTCATCCCTCACACTCCCTCCCCGCAATAACAACCAAAACAAAATCCCCCTCATCCTCACGTACCACCCCACCAACCTCCGGATTCAACGCATCATCCTCCAACACTTCTGCCATCTGCAATCCAACCCCACCACCAAAGACATTTTTCCCACCCCACCATTATCTGCTTTCCGGAGGGACCACTCTCTCCATGACTCCCTTGTCCACTCCACACTCCCCTCCAGCCCCACCACACCTGGCACTTCTCCCTGCAACCGCAGGAAGTGCTACACCTGCCCCTACACCTCCCCCCTCACCCCCATCCCAGGCCCCAAGAAGACTTTCCACATCAAGCAGATGTTCACCTGCACATCTGCTAATGTGGTATACTACATCCGCTGTTCCCGTTGTGGCCTCCTGTACATCGGGGAAACCAAGCGGAGGCTTGGGGACCGCTTTGCAGAACACCTATGCTCGGTTTGCACTAAACAACTGCACCTCCCAATCGTGAACCATTTCAACTCCCCCTCCATTCCTCAGACGACATGTCCATCCTGGGCCTCCTGCAGTGCCACAATGATGCCACCCGAAGGTTGCAGGAACAGCAACTCATATTCCGCTTGGGAACCCTGCAGCCCAATGGTATCAATGTGGATTTCACAAGCTTCAAAATCTCCCCTCCTCCAACCGCATCCCAAAACCAGCCCAGCTCGTCCCTGCCTCCCTAACCTGTCCTTCTTCCCACCTATCCCCTCCTCCCACCTCAAGCCCCACTCCCGTCTCCTACCTACTAACCTCATCCCGCCTCCTTGACCTGTCCGTACTCCCTGGACTGACCTATCTCCTCCCTAACTCCCCACGTACACTCACCTTTACTGGCTCCATCCCCACCTCTCTGACCTGTCCGTTTCCTCTCCACCTATCTTCTCCTCTATCCATCTTCTATCCGCCTCCCCCTCTCTCCCTAATTATTTCAGAACCCCCTTCCCCTCCCCCATTTCTGAAGAAGGGTCTAGGCCTGAAACGTCAGCCTTCCTGCTCCTCTGATGCTGCTTGGCCTGCTGTGTTCATCCAGCTCTACACCTTGTTATCTCAAACAAAGTAATCTTTGTTTAGTGCTATATCTAACCATGTAACTACTGTTGGAGGTTTATAAACTGTCTGCTAAAAGTAATGAAAGGCAATATAATTGTCTATTTTCTATATTTGAAGATGTCAAGGTGCAGAAGCGTTTGAAATTCAGCATTTCGGATTAGCAAATGGCATATTTATGAAATTTCTAAAGGAACGCCTGTTAGAGGATGAAAAAATCACAGTGTTGCTTGACAGAGTTGCTGAAGGTAATTGCTTTATTATGTTAAAAAGGTTTTTTTCTCAACTACAGAGGTGGCACGGTGGCTCAGTGATAAGCACTGCTGCCTCACCGCGCCAGGGACCCAGATTCAATTCCAGCCTTGTGTGACTGTCTGTGTGGAATTTGAACATTCTCCCCATGTCTGCGTGAGTTTCCACCAGGTGCTGCAGTTTCCTCCCACAGTCCAAAGATGTGCAGGTTAGGTGGATTGGCTGATCCAACATTGCTCACATCCACTTTCCTGCACTTTCCCTGTAACTCCCTTACTGATCAAGAATCTGTCTATTTATCTCAGCCTTAAATATGCACATGGACTCTGCCCCAACAACTTTGTTACAGGCAGTTCCAAAGACACTCAACCCTTGGAGAGAAAAGAATTGCTCCTCATGTCAGTCTTAAATTGGTACCCCGTTGTTCTGAGATGGTACCCTCTCATCCTAGACTCTCCCATGAGGGGAAACAGCCTCTCAGTATTTACCTTATCAAGCCCCTTAAGAGTATGATATGTTTCAATGAGATTACCTCCCATTCTTCTAAACTCCAGTGAGCAGAGTCCCAAACTGTTTAACCTTTGTTCATAAGACAATCCATGCATGCCAGAGATCATCCTAGTGAATGTTCTCTGAACTGCTTCCAGTGAAATTCTATATTTTCTCAAATAAGGGAACCAAAACTGCTCACAGTACTCTCGATTCAGAGATAGTGGGAACTGCCGACGCTGGAGAATCTGAGATCACATGGTTTAGAGCTGGATGAACACAGCAGGCCAAGCAATATCAGAGGAGCAGTAGAGCTGACGTTACGGGTCTGGACCCTTCTTCAGAAATGGGGGAAGGGATGGGGGTTCTGAAATAAATAGAGAGAGAGGGGGAGGCGGTTGGAAGATGGATAAAGGAGCAGATAGGTGGAGAGGAGACAGACGGGTCAAAGAGGCGGGGATGGAGCCAGTAAAGGTGAGTGTAGGTGGGGAGGTATGATGGGGATAGGTCAGTCCCGGGAGGACGGACAGGTCAAGGATGCGGGATGAGGCTGGTAGGTAGGAGGTGGGGCTGGGGCTTGAGGTGGGAGGAGTGGATAGGTGGGAGGACAGGTTAGGGAGGTGGGCCGCATCCCAAAACCAGCCCAGCTCGTCCCTGCCTCCCTAACCTGTCCGTCCACATCCAGCCTGTTGAGACCTCTCAGACTGTTATACATTTTAGTCAAGCTGTATGTTACACATCTGAACTCCAATGGATAGACACCCAGCCTGTCCAACCTGGTCATTCTGTGTAAACTTCCTCTAAACTGCCTCCAGTGTGTTTACATCCTTCCTTAAATAAGGTGACTGTGCACAGTACTCAGATGCAGCCTCACCAATGCCCTTTATAACTGAAACATGACCGAGTTACTTTTGTATTCAATTCCCTTAACAATGAACAATAACATTTATTAGCTTTCTTAATTACTTGCTGTACCTGCATACTAACTGTACATAATTCTTGCACTAGGACAACTAGACCCCACTGCGTTCCAAAGATCCACAATCAAATGCTTGACTAAATTTCATGTTTTCCTACATAGTACTTTATTTGCCAATTGGAAGGTTGTATTGAGAGGAATGGACAAGCGTAATTTGTAATTTTTTAAAAATGACTTATTGAAGTTTTGGACTCATCTTCCTACTGTTTCCAGTTCAAATGAAGGGTGCTAACATCAATTTTCAGATGCTACCAGTTTTGTTGCTTATAGAGGATTTAATTGATTCGGTTGTAATTATTTTCACGTATGGTGTCGTACTTTCTCATCTTAATGCAGTCCTGATGTTTTAAATTGCAGACATGGGAAAATGTGACCTCACGAAAGGAAAACAAGCTCTGGAAATTCGCAGCAGTCTCTGTGAGAAGAGAGCCTTGACTGACCCAATCCATTCATCAGGCTGCTCTGCTGAATCGCTGGCACGCAACCTGCAGTGGGCAAAGGCCCACGGTAACATATTTCTCATCTCTGGCAATAGCTCAGTGGAGAATTGGATTGTAGCCCAGTTTGTGGCAGCTCTTGTTATTGTTGAGTTATTTCAAGTGTGCAATAAACATGATAGCTGAGCCAGTGGAGGAATGCTTACAATCTGCAACCGATTGGGCGGGTTAGGGAACGGTTTAGATTTCACAAACCAGTTCTGTCAGCTCAGAGCTTTGTGTGGCGAATATTTGCACACTCCTTGCACAAGTTTCTGTACTGAGGATGGAGAATCTTACAAAGGCAAGCTGATTTTTGGACTTGAACTCCCCATGTACACTCTTGCTGCACAAACACTGCACTGGGAATGTAAAGCCTACCCCTGGTATCTCAAACTAAAAAGCTCAAGTGAAGAAGTAAGCAAAGGGAGTTCTGTAATAGGCTTGTTATTGGTTACTTTTTAAAGTCAGTTTGGTAGATTTTCCTCTTAGTGTAAAAGTAGCAGTACTAGTGGTGGTATTGTTTTCTCCTATTTGAGTTGGGTTTAAGATGACTGCAGGAAATGTTGTACATTTCTTCAGTGATGCTTTTCAGTCTAATGAGGAGGCAGTCGCACAGTGGTAATGTCACCGGACTAGTAATCCAGGACCTAGGCTAATGCTGCCACTGTCTATTGGAGTTAGTGGCATTTAAATTCCGTTAATAAATCTACAATTCACACTCATCTGATGGTGATGGCAAGGCCATTGTCTACTGTTGCAAAATCCATCTGGTTCACTTTCTGGAAAAAGAGTTGCTGTCCTTAATTGGTCTGGCTTTTATGTGACTCAAGACCCATAATCACATGTTTGACTATTGACTGCCCTCTGGGATTGCCTAGCAAGCCACTCTGTTGTACATACTGGTATGAAGTCTAAGATAAAGAATGAAACCTCACTTGCTAACTGCATTGTGGTCATGACTAGACCCCAACGACTGCAGCAGTTCAAGGAGGCAACTCAATGCTCTGTCCCCGACATTCTGAAAAGAAATGAAAGATGGCAATAGATGCTGACAAGTCAGTGATGCCCACATCACATGTGAAATAACTGCACAGAGGCCAGAATGCCGTCACCATGTCAACATTTATTTATATAGAACATAGAACAGTACAGCACAGTACAGGCCCTTCGGTCCACGATGTTGTGCCGAACTTTTACCCTAATCCTAAGGTCTATCTAACCTCCACCCCTACCTTATATTACCATCCGTATGCCTATTTAATAGCCGCTTAAATGCCCCTAATGAGGTCGACTCCACTACCCTCTCCGGCAATGCATTCCACGCCCCTACCACTCTCTGAGTAAAGAACCTACCTATATGTGCATAGTATTTGACATTGGTCTGGCTTTCTCAGTCCCAGCTCTCAGAGTGAACAGAGTGACCTCTGATAGGATAGTCAGAACTGCAGATACTGCAGTCAGAGATAACACAGTGTGGAGCTAGAGGAACACAGCAAGCCAGGTAGTATCAGAGGATCAGAGGAGCAGAAAAGCTGACTTTTCGGTTCGGGACCTGAAACGTTAACTTTCCTGCTCCTCTACTGCCTGGCCTGCTGTGTTCCTCCAGCTCCACACTGTGTTATCTCAGAACTTCTGACACTCCTGTTTATATCTGTCAGCCAGATCTCCCTGATTGGACCAGATTAACAGCCCCGATCAGGGAACTCCTATCCTATGACGTCCACCTGGCTGACGTTGTTGCAATTACTAGAACATGAAACAAAAAACTGAAAAAAAGCAAGTAACTCTCATCTGATTAATGTTTCAACTACAGCCAATCTGGCATAAAAACAAGCATAAATACTGGCGTGAATCAAGAGGGTCAAGATAGTCTGAAGGTGGGTCTTATTTTCACATTTGTTTGATTCTTTCATCGGATGTGAGCATTGCTGAAAGCATTTATTGCCCATCCCTAACTGCTCTTGAGAGATTGGTGCTGGGCTGTCTCTTGAACCACTGCAGTATATCTGGTGTAAGGACACATACTGTGTTGTTAGGAAAAGAGTTCCACAATTTTGACTCATTGGTAGTGAAGCAATGGTAATATAGTACCAAGTCAGGATGGTGTGTGTCTTGAAAGGGAGCTTGGAGTTGGTAGTGTTCACATGTGTCCTTGTCCTTCAATGGTAATTTTTTCTTATTCATTCATGGGATGCAGGCATTGCTGGCTAGGCCAGCATTTATTGCCCATCCCTAACTGCCCAGAGAGCAGTTGAGAGTCAACCACATTGCTGTGGGTCTGGAGTCACATGTAGGCCAGACTAGGTAAAGATGACGCTTTCCTTCCCTACAGGACATTAGTGAATCCCAATGGGTTTTTCCGACAATTGGCAATGGATTCTCGGTCATCAGTCGACTCTTAATTCCAGATTTTATTTTAATTGAATTCAAATTCTACCATCTGCCATGACAGGATTTGAACCCAGGTCCCCCAGAACATTACCTGGGTGTCTGGATTAACAGTCCAGTAAGAATACACTAGGCCATTGCCTCTCATGTCATGTTTAAGTCACTTCTGTGTATATTGCAATGCATCAGGATCATAATCACACTTTCCTCAAATGTTCCTTTATTTTTGTTTATCTGCGAAATTTGCAAAGGAAAATACAAACAAGTTTATTGTCTGAATAGTGTATTGCTAAAGTTGCTACAAAAATTTAAACTACAGAAACTTCAGCTAAGATTAGTTATGTCAAGGTTAATTACACTGGAGCACCCAATTCCATTTTTCACTGGATTTCAAAGGAAATGTATATCAGTTACTGGCTTTTATATTTAATAACTAATTAAGTTCTGGATTGATTGCTGTAGGCTGAAATGTGGCTTATGTTGTCTTATTCAAGAAGAGTCAGAAATCAGATCCTTCTAATTATGTGAATTTAATGCTGGTTAGAAAAATAGCTTGTGGAAGGTAATGATTTAGATCACTTGGAAAGTTCAGCAGCTATTAGGGATTCTGAGCATGATATTTGTTAATTTTGATGCTGTCTCGCTAATCTAATTGAATTCTGTGAAGAATGGTAGATGAAGATAATTCTGTTCCTGTCATAAACTTTAGCTTGTAGACTGATTTCGACAAGTGAATAAAACCAAATGCAATCAATGGCTTTAAGTTGAACATGTGTAGTGTTCTCCACTTAGAGTCATTGAGTAGTACAGCATGGAAACAGACCCTTCGGTACAACTCGTCCATGCCAACCATTCTAAATTAATCTAGTCCCGTTTGCCAGCATTTGGCCCATATCCTTCTAAACTCTTCCTATTCATAAAGCCATACCGATGCCTTTTAAATGTTGCAGCTGTACCAGCCTCCACCACTTCCTCTGGCAGTTCATTCCATACACACACCACCATCTGCAGGAAAACATTGCCCCTTAGGTTCTTTTTAAATCTTTCCCCTCTCACTTTAAACCCATGCCCTCTAGTTTTGGAATCCCCTATCTTGGGGAAAAGACCTTGACTATTCACCTTATCCATACCCATCATGATTTTACAAACTTCTGTATGGTCACCCCTCAGCCTCTGATGATCCAGGGAAAATAGCTCCAGCCTATTCAAACTCTCCCTATAGTTCAAACCCTCCAACCCTGGCAACATCCTTGTAAGACTTTTCTGAACCCTTCCAAGTTTCACAACATCTTTCCTATAGCAGGGAGACCAAAATTGAACACAGTATTCCGAAAGTGGCCCAATCAAAATCCTGTACAGCCTGACTTCCCAACTCCTATACTCAATGCACTGACCAATAAAGGCAAGCATACAAAACACCCTCTTCACTACGCTGTCTACATGCAACTGTACTTTCAAGGATCTATGAACCTGCACTCCAAGGTCTCTTTGTTCGCAACACTCCCCAGGACCTTACCATTAAGTTTCTTAGTCCTGCTCTGATTTGCCCAACCGAAATGTAGCACCTCACATTTCTGTAGTCACTTGGAGTGAACAAACTCCAAGGGTTGCTTTATCATGCAAGAATGTTAGTTAAGCTGAAGGAAAAAGAGAGATTCAAGAGTCAAGGTTTGTTGAAGGTGCATTATATGTGACGATTGTGTAGAAAGCAGGTGAAATGTAGCATTAAGTATAAAGCAAAGGCTGGAAGAGGCAGGCAGGGCACTGAAGCACTGAAGGCAGCACTGCTGTTTAGAAGCGGTAGGCAACACGAGTGGCTTGTTTCAGAGATAGTCTAGGCCCGAAACGTCAGCTTTCCTGCTCCTCTGATGCTGCTTGGCCTGCTGTGTTCATCCAGCTCTATGGCTTGTTTTATGTATTTGTGCTCCTACAATCTCATGTCATTTTCACATTATGAAATTGAAAAGTACATATATGTCTACCAGTCATTAACTGCCAACTGAAATTTGTGTTTTCAGAGCTACCTGAAAGTATGTGGCTTGAGTTTGACTGCGGTGTCCAAATTCAACTAGGTTTTGCTGCTGAATTTTCAAATGTCATGATAATTTACACGCGTATTGTGAAGAAACCAAAAGGAATTATGATGTGCGAGGCATATGTCACAGATTTTCCACTGGTAAAATTTGTTTTTTTTTTCCCAAAAGTAATTCGCTGCTGCACTGGACGGTTGTTTACACTAGCATGGTTTAAGTGGCATGAGTTATAATGTTGTGTTGGGCAGGTAGTTGAATTCTTGGTTCTGCAAATTGAACTGAAGTGAAGTGGGCAACAACGTGCTTTTGATGTCTGAGCATTAAAATATCCTTTGTCTATTTTCTATATCCTAGACTTGCATGTTTACCCTGTGCTTACTACCTTACATTGGCTCCTCATTAAACAATGCCTCTTTTAAAATTTGTGCCCTGGCTTTTCAAATCTGTCTGTGCCTTTCCCACTTCTTATCCCTCTAACCTCTTCCAGTCTCCAAGATCTGGCTGCTCCTCCGTTCCTGGCCTTTTGGGTATATCACTTTTAATACTGAGGCCATTAATACTGCTATTCCTTCACTCCATCTCTCTACCTTTCTTTCATTCTTAAACATCAGTGTCTGGTGAAGCTTTGTCATCTGGCATAAAACCATCTTATGTTGCTCAGTATTACATTTTACTTGATAATGCTTCTGTGAAGCACCTTGGAGTACTTTACTACATTAAAGAAGCTATTTAAATACAATCAGTTGTTGTTATATCAACAGGTGAATTTCTACATTGCCACATCACCCTCCTCATCCAGATTTAAAATCTAGCCTTTCCTTTTAGGAGTAAATTATTAGGAAAATAGGGCATCATAAAGTAGGTGCTGATGTGGAAGAGGAACAATTGAGGGTTTTGTACTAAAGTACACATAGGTACAGGTAGTTGTGTAGATGGAAATCAGAAGTTACAAAGGGACAATCACAGGTGAAGTGATATATGTAAGGAAACTACACATCTGATCTTGTGGAATAAAGTTAATATTTTCTCAATTGTTTACAAGTAAGAATAACGGAGGAACAAACTGATTTAGGTGGCTTAAGTGCACACATATCTAAAAAGTTGGGGACAAGTAGTAAAGGTGATCACAAAGGCTAATGGAATGTTAGCCTTTAGTGAGCAAGTGGTGCTTCTATTGTACTATGCTTCCTGTTGTCTGTGAAGAAATTATGGGCACACTATACAAGAAATTTAATGGAAAGTTGTGGATTGTGTGCCTTCAATTTTCCAGCAAGGTGGGTGAAGCTCCCTTCTGATAATCTGGACTCAGAAAATTACCCCATCTGAGTCTGACATGTGCTTCAGTATTGCTTTTTACTAAAGATTTATTTATTTTGTGTTGGGGGTATAGGAGGTGTAATTGGCTGGGAGCATTCACTGCCCTTACGAAGTTGCCTTCGGCTAAATGATCTCTCAAAACTACAGGGCGAACATTGCAATGTGACAGCAGAGGATTTCAATATATAGTCAGCAGAATATATTTTGTAAACATGATCACATGCACTTGCTTTTGCATCTTGAGTATCTTAAAATAGAAGAAATGGCATTTAAATCTGTAAAGAAGAGAAATCTTAGTTCTCTTGTATTCAAAGTCCCTCCAAATGAAGTGCTATCAATCTTAAATGGATCCTTGAGTTAAGTGCAGAGCAGAATTTGCATGCTTACTGAGCAGGATTTGGCAATGAGCCCAATTCTGTTCAGATATCCAACACCAACTGGCCACAGAATGGTATGAACATTGGATGCAATATGAAACCATCAGTCTACTAATCCCCTTTTACAGTTGAAGTTCAGGGTGGGAAAGATAAGCAAAGTATAAGAAATAAAATTTGATATAATAGTAAGTTCTATGGAATGTCTATTTGAATGCACATCCATTACTTGTAAAATAGAAAAAAATTCTAGCTGCAAAGACAGAAAAGGTAACCAAATATCAAAACATTTGTAAAGAGATAAATGACAAAATAGTTCAGAAAGTATATGGTTGGGAAAATTGAAAGTCTTTCACATTTTTGGGAGAATATTGAAAACTGCAAATGTCTAATTGCTAAAAGCACAAATTTATTCAAGGTTTAAATAAGTGTATTTAACATTTATTCAAATCATAACACTGCCAGCAATCGAGGAAAGTGTATTTTCTGACTAATGTTGACTTTGTGCTAAGTTCTTCTGTAAATTTTTTTCAACACAATCACTTACCCATTTGAGATAACCAGCACAAATGTTTTCAAAAGTGTTCATATCAGAACACTCTGACAGAATGCCCACTGGGGTACGATTGCACTTACTCAGAATATTTACATGACAATGTGGGTTTACAAGGTGGATGAGGCTCCCTGCTGATAATCTGGACACAGAACATTACCCCATCTGAGTCTGGCATGTGCTTCAATATTGCTTTTTACTAAAGATTTGCTTATTTTGTGATGGGGGTATAGTAGATGTAATTGGCTGGGAGCATTCAGTGCCCTAATGAACCTGCCTTCGGCTAAATGATCTTTCAAAACGACGGGACCGACATTGCAATGTAACATAATGTAGCAATAGATGAATTTTATTTGTCAATATAATGGTTGAGACTGTCATGCTATGTGTTTAGTATAGGAAAATAAATAATTAGCTTTTCATTGTACAGGTATTTCACTTTTTCTGTTAAAATATACATCAGACAGGACTATGTGTCAGATATGTTTAGGAACTGGAAATAACTGAAGACATTGTGGAGGCTTTTGTTAAGAGTAAGAAATCTTCATGAGGATGGATAACAGTAAATATTGTTTCAAATTGAAATGTATCAGGGAGTTAACAAAACATCTTTAATAGAAGTAATGTTTGTGGGCATTACATAGAATGCTATTGATGCATATCTCAAAAACATAAAAACTATCATGCGTGCATTATAAAATTCAAGCGAGGCACTAGAGAAGGTTTACCAGAATGTTACCAGAACCAAGCTCTGCATATCAAGAAAAATTGAATAAGTTGGGATTCTTTTACCTAAACAGGTGAAGGCCGAGGTGTTGGTAGAATGGTGAAAGTGTTTTAATAGGGTAGATGTAGGTAGATGTTACCCCCTGTCAAGAAAATTAGTACTAGTGGTCCTAGGAATGAGGACCACTAATTGAATCTAGTCTTGAAAAGAATTTCTATAAACTCAGTATCCACAAACTTTTGTTGAGGGAGAGACCCAGATCTTTGCTGCAATTTATACAAAAAGAGTATTCATAATGTCTTGCTTAGGTAGCCTAGCTCCAATTTTAAGGTTGTGTCTTCTTGTTCTGGATTTCCCCACCAGAGAACAAGGTCAGAAATCACATGACATCAGGTTTCTGACCCTGTCCACCCCAGTCCAACACCGGCACCTCCACATTATGCTCACCAGAGGAAACAGTTTGTTTATGTACCTATCCACTTGATTCCCGTTGTCATCTCCAATATTTCAGTTGGACCAATCCTCTGATTTGTAGGAAGCACTAACCAAGATTGTTTAAGCTCCTCATAATTTGACTCTTAAAACTTTTGTATATTTCTGTTGAATTTGTATTGTAACCCTTCACAAGACCAATATATATATATCTTTCCTGAGGAGCAGTATCTAAATGGGGGATAATATTTCAGATAGAATCTGTCCAAGGCACAACTGATGTATAACTCCCTCAAGTTAACAACTATGATTATTCAGTGCAAATAAAAATACATTTTATGACAAGGCTGCTGGAGCAGACCTCCTTGTCATCCAGTGGGAGTACATTAATTTGCCCCTGCATGATTAATTTCAGTAGGCAGAAAACTGGGTCGGTACCCATTCAGGCTAAATGAGACTGTTATGAGTAAGGCTAAACATGCAATCGGATCCACTACAGGGTAAATTGAGCAATACTGCACGTTGGGCCAAAAGATTTACCTGATGGGAGATGAGACTGCAATAGTAAAGAATTAATTATCTGATGCACAGTCTCATAGAGTGAAACAACCAGCTATTAGAGCAGGATCAATGAATAAACCCTTGCTGGTCAGAAATTCTAATTCATATAAATAATTTACGAAGGATCTGTTTGAATGTTGGAAGCTTTATTTTGTCTGCAAAACCACAAGCACATTCTTTATAAATGCACATACTGTGTTGAAGAAATCATTTCTCCAATACCTGCGTTGTGCAAAGTCTTTCAAAAGTACTTTCAACATCTTTCAAATCCATGTTGGTGCTGACAATTTGGAGAACAATGAGATTAACTTCTTATTCAGCACAAATATGTAGATTAAACCGATGATGCCTTTACGACAGAAATGTATTATATCTGTACCAATGAGGTGAAATGTCTGTGTAGTGTGCGTTTATGTGTATTTAATTTGCCTAATTCATATGCCTAGGAGTATGTCACACTCAGTTTCATTTTATTTAATGATGTCACCAAATGAAAAATTCAGATCTTTCTCTGAAATGTCACCAGTAACCAAAAGAGATCTTACCTACTTCCATTTTTTCAGTGTTGATATCTGTATTATAGTAGCAGCAAGTAGCATTTTTTCCTTTATTAATAATAGTAGACGACTGTGTTTTAGACTGTATTCAGATTTCAGACAGATGAAGTAATATTTTGTAACATTTCGTATTTACATTTGAAATTGAAAGACAACTTGCAGCATCTGAAACTGAGTTACCATGTAAATCTTATTGGAATTAATTTTGAACATGCATCTATTTGTGTTTTTTGTTTATATTATGAGAATAGGACCTAGACATTGATCCTAAAAAGACAAACAAAGGAACACCAGAAGAAACAGGAAGCTACCTACTCTCTAAGGATTTACCAGAGCAGTGCCTTTACACTAGACTAAGTGCTTTACAGAAACTGAAGGTAAGATCTTCATGTCCCAAATGCCGTTATTGAACTATTCAACAGACAATAGCTTTTATTCCAAGCTATTTAAAACTAAACTGGTACAGTTTACTGCTCTTATTTAAAGTCAATTTGCTAGCCCACTTTATGCTGCAATGGCATTTATTTATACAATGCTTTTTATGGATCTCTGTGCCCAATTGTTGTAATTCTTTTTCTACCAGTACCATTATTTTCACCAATTAGCTTTCAAACATAATTCCCTATATGAGTTGTCAGAAAGATACAGTTCAACAGCAAATTGCATTTATGCAGCACCTTTAGTTTAAAACATCCAAACGTGCTTCATAGAAAGTTATCAGGCAAAATTTGACCAAACCACATGAATGAACATCAGAACAGGTGAAATCCGTTTTAAGCAGCATCTTAAGGGAGGAAAGGGAGGTAGAGATGTGGTGAGATTGAAGGATGGAATTCCAAAACTTACAGCTTAGGCTGTCAAAGACATGGCTGACTATGGTAGAATGCATAGAAAGGAAGGAATGCAAAGATCACCGGAGGTTTGCAGCAGTGGAGGAGGTTACAGAGCTAACCTAGCGAAAGGTAAGACCATGACCATTAGAACACCAGGATAAAATATCAAATTTGAGGCTTTGCCAAACTGGCAGCTAATGTAGATCCATAAGCAAAGAGATTGCAAAGCAATTTCAGTTCTGTACCCCTGCTCTAACCAAGATGCTTCACTATTTAATCAGGCCAGTTGGTGATCTTTAATTTAAAATTCATTTAACTGCCTTTTCTCCACCTAATCTTGAAAACTTCAGTTAACCAACATCCACAATCTTTAGGGGAGGGAGTTCTGGATCTCTACTAATTTCAGATAGTGACAGCACTATCTAAGTAGTCTGTACTTCAAACATATCAGAGCATTATTCATTAGTTTGTGTTCAGAAATGGCGAGGGAAGTAACAGAGATGTCCTTACTGTGCACCTGTTTGGTTTTCTCATTCATGTCAAATGTTGTACTATCCATGATGAAAGGATCCTGGCTGCATCAGTATAAACATGCTTTTGAACAAGGTCACAAAGAGACATATGAAACTGAAATATTACGAAAATAAAGTTCCACTCATTCTCTAACAGCATCATTCGGTATTTGTTAATGTTTCATTAACTAGGGATAAACAAAAATAAAAGCTGACCTTTCCTTTTATAGATTCTGAGATCTTGCATCATGTAGCTGAACATCACTCTTTTGCCAAAGTTTTTTTTTGAAACCCTGATCTTTTCCTAAGTTGCTTTTGCAATTAAAATCCCTTAACCTTCTAGTCTGATGAAGAGGTTACATTTACCCTTCATGCTTGTTGCTTAGATTGTACATCTATCTGTCCACTGTAAATCATTAACAAAGTGCTATCAAACAGCAGTCATAAATGACCTGCTCACCAATGCTCAGTTTGCATTTCACTGGGAACACGCAATGTCAAATATTGTTACAGCTTCAAATAAGAAAATCAGAGAAGTTCCTGAGATGAGGTGATAGTGATAGCAGTTGTTTCTACGAATGGAAGCATGCCTGAAATAACAAACTTGCATTGAGACATGTGAATTAGGAGAAAGAGTGGGCCACTTGGGGCCTTGAGTCTGCTCTGCCATTCAGCAATATCAGGGCTGATCTGATTATTCCACATTCCCACCTCCTCCGATAACAATTCACACCCTTGCTTGTCAAGAATCTCTACACCTTTACCTTGAAAGTTTCTAAAGTTTTTGCTTTCACTGTTTTTATCAGGAAGAGAGTTCCAAAGACTCTCAATACTCAATGAGAAACAAAGCTCTCCTTACCTCTATCTTGTATGGGCAACGCCTTATTTTTAAACAATTACTACTAATTCTAAATTCTTTCCCAAGAGGAAACATCCTTCCCACATGCACCCTGACTAGATCACTCAAGATCTTATATATTTCAAATCAATTTGTCCCTTACTCTTCTAAAGAGCAGCAGGTATGCACTTAGCCTGTCAACCCTCTCATAAGACAATATACTTATTCCATGTATTAGACTGGTAAGCCTTCTGTGAACTGCTTCCAGTGCAGTGCCATCCAGTACACCAGAAGTGGTCTTGCTGATTAAAAGCAAAGCATTACAGATGCTGCCAATATGAGATAAAATCAAAAATCCTGTAGAAACTCAACAGGTCTGACAGCATCCAAGGAGAGAGAAACAGAGTTAACATTTTAAGTCCTATATGACTCATCTTTGGAACTGATGTGTGGTCTCACCAATGCTATGTACAACTGAAATATAATCTACTTTCAGTTTTGAAGAAGGTTCATCTCGTCCCATAATGAAAACTCAGTCTTCTCTCCACAGTTGTTGGCAGATCTGCTGATTCTCTCCAGCAATTTCTGCTTTAGTTCCCTACTTCTTTATTCAATTCTACTCACAATAAGCAATAAAGTTCTATTAGTTTTCCTAATTACTTACTGTATCTGTGTACCAGCCTTTGGTGATTCATGCATTATGCCACCCAGATCCCTCTGCATTTCTGAGTTCCTCAATCTTTCACCATTTGGATAAAATGCTTCTTTTCAAAATGGACAATTTTTCAACTTCACATCATATTATATTGCATTTGTCAGATCTTTGCCGACTCACTCAACCTAACTATATACCTTGGTAGCCTGCTCATGTCCTTTTTACATCATAATTTCATACCTACCTTTATGTCATCATCAATTTTAGCAACCATGCCTTTTTTTTTAAATTCACCCGCAGGATGTAGGTGCCACTGGCTGAGCCAGCTTATATGGCCCACACCTAGTTGTTCTTGAGAAGGTGGTGGTGAGCTGCTTTCTTGAAACTCTGTAGTCCATGTTCTGCAGATAGATCCACAATACCCTTAGGCAGGGAATTCCAGAATTTTGACCCAGTAAGACAGAAGGAACACTGATACATTTCCAAGTAGAGATGGTGAGTGGCTTCGGGGGGAATTTGCAGGGTTGGTATCTGTTCCCCTTGTCCTTCGAGATGGTAGTGCTCATGGATTTGGAAGGTTTTGCCTAACGAGCTCGGATGAATTTCTGCAGTGTGTCTTGGAGATAAGACACGCTGCTGCTACTCAGTGTCAGCTCTGGTGGGACTTAATATTTGTTTGTCGATGCCAGTCAAGTGGGCTGCTTTGTCCTGGATGGTGTCAAGCAACTGGAGAATTATTGGAGCTATATTCATCCGGGCAAGTTGAGAATATTCCAACCTTTCCTCCACAATAAGGTCAAAAATGGGGATGTTAGCTGACCATTGCACAGTTTTTAGTGCCATTCACCTTTTCTCAAGTAACGAAACAGTCAGTGCCAGCATGTGGAAAACACTGGACAACATTCAGGTGCCACAAAAAAGGCAAGCAACAATTAATGACAATGAGGTGGAGCTTAACCACCCTCTCTGAAATGCCCAAATCATTCACTATCAACACCTTGAGTGGAAACTCAGCTGATGCACCCACTTAAATGCCATGAATACCAGAACATCTTGAGGGACTGGATATTTTATGGCAAATGGTTCATCTGTTGACTTCTTCTAGCCTCACAACTACCTAAAGGTCTCACGTCAAGCAGAATATGATGGAATACAGTTATTCAATGCTCTAGGTAGACCACACATCTAAAACATTTGCATAGTTCTCGGCAGTATTCATTCAGAGTAATCCATTGGTCTTGGAAGGAGTGCAGTGCAAAATAATCAGAACTCCAAGGGTTAAATTGTGAGGAGAGATTAACAAACTGGGTCTTAATTCCATAGAATTCAAAGAGATCAGGGTTGATTAGATTCAAACTTTCAAGATGTTAAAGGATATGGACAGGATAGCTAGAAACTATTCCTGCTGGAAGTAATGTTTAGTTCAAGGGGCTGTTATCTAAAAACCAAAATCAGACCTTTCAGTTAGGTCATGGTTCTGCATACAAAGACTGGTAGAAGTCCAGAACTCTGTTATGAAAGCAACAATAGAAGCTAAATTATTTATTAAAAATTTAAAATCTGAGACTGATAGATTTTTGTTAACCAAAGGTCTTCAGGAATGGGCAAAGGTGATCATATGGAGTTAGGTAACAGATCAGCCATGACTTTGTTGAAAGATGGAGCAATTTTGTGAACCATACTATGACAATGGTTATAGCATGAAAGGAGGCCATTCAGCCTGCCATGTCTGTGCTGGTCCTCTAAAGGAACTATTTACCTCATGCTATTCTCTCACTACTCCCTGCACTTACTTTCTTTTCAGATAATCCAATTCCCTGTTGACTACTTGTTCCCACAGTACATTTAGGTAGCACATTCCAAATTTTAACCACTTGCTGCATGAAAAAGGTTTCTCTTCATGTCATTGTCCCTTCCATTTGTCCATTACTTTAAATCTGTGTCCTCTGATTCTCAATTCTTCCACTGATGGGAGCAGTTTCTTCCAATCTACTCTGTACACGTCTCTCTGAATACCTCCTCTCAACCTTCTCTTGCCAAAAAAACTTGCCTCAACTTCTCCAATTTTTCAATTGTACTAAAGTTTCTAATGACTGGATAGAATCTCATTAATCTTATCTGCACTCTAGGAAGATGCGAAGCCATTAGATAAAGGGTGGTGGCCAGAACTGGACATATTACTCCAGTTTAGGCCAAACCAGTGTTTTATACAAGTTTAACATAACTTCCATGCTTTTGCACTCACTGACCCCAGTGAGAAAGATCAAAATTCTTTATAAATATTCTTTATTAACTGCTCTCTCAACCTGTCCTGCCGCTTTCATGCTTCACAGATGCACCTTGGTCCCTCTGCTCCCACATGCTGTTATAGTTGTAATCTTTAATTTATGTTGTCTCTCTGCAAAATTTCTATCAAAAAATATCACATTACAAACATTCATTCCCTCCATCAACAACTCCACATCAAATGCCATTTGGAAACATGTGTCCACCATTTCAACATGATAATTATGCTTCACAACCCTCTCTGTTACCTCATCAAAAAAACCTCACAGAATTTAGTTTAAAATGATTTTATATTAACAAATAAGGGAAGATGTACAATAGACAACTAATTTACTATTGACAACTATTTTACGGTAGTCAAGTTCCACCCCTCTGCCAACTTTGATTGTAGGTGTTTATTTATTTATAATTCCTCATGGGATGAAGGTGTCGCTGGTTAGGCCAACATTTATTGCCAATCCCTAATTAAGAATCAACCACATTACTGTGGGTCTGGAGTCACATGTAGACCAGACCAGACCACCAGAAGGGTGGCAGTTTCCTTCCCTAAAGGACATTAATGAACCAGATGGGTTTTTCCTGAAATTTTTGGTCACCATTAGACTCTTAATTCCAGATTTTTATTGAATTCAAATTCTACTATGTGCCATGGCGAGATTCGAACCCAGATCCTCCGAACATTCCCTGGGTCTCCGGATTAACAGTCCAACAATAATACCACTAGGCTGTTGCCTCCCATATAGTTTATATGTGTATTTGTATATGTTTATATGTATAAATGTATATTTTATATATAATTGGAATTTAAACATTTGTTTTACTGCTAGCAAAATTGTCTCTTGAGAGATATCAATAATCTACAATAACATTTTCTAAATTGAAATACATGACACAAGGTCATAATGCTTTATCTGAACATTTCCATTTTATAAAATGACATAAGTTTTTATTAATGGAATAACATTTTTCAGAAGATCTTTTCCTTTCTTTACATTAGTAAGTTCATGATTTTAAAAAAAATTAAGTGGGATTTCAGCCAATCTTTCCCTAAAGGTTAAAGAAAGCAGGAAAAGTTCAAAAGAACTCCCTGGTGGTTTTGCCTCTCTTTGATGGCACACAAATGTCAGCCTTGGATCTCTTTAACATTTTAAATAACTATGTGAATATACAATATTAGACTACAAGAATAACATACCATATGTACCATGTTGAAAATATGCAATACTATAAGCTTGAGAAGCTTGTCTTGAGTTACAAATTTCAGAATGCTATCCAGTTTCCTGCTTCAACTTATCATTTTTTCATTATGTTTAGCTTTTTGAAGAAAAGTGATAGAACTAAAGCAAACGTAAATTCATGTCCTTCTGCTGTAGGAACGACTGGTCTTCACAGCCTGCCTGCGCTATCAATATCAAGGACTTGATGAATTTGTAGAAGAGGCCAAGGAGGTAGACGTGGGAAAGCCACTCATCGCAAAGCTGGACATTCATCGCGCCATTAGGAGGAATAGCTGCCTAGTGACCTGTCCTATGCCTCATAGCCCATTGCACAGCCCAGTGCACAGCCCATCCCACAGTCCAGTGCGAAGCATGGCTTACAGTCCTGAATTTGAGCATTACCTCCACCACCACAACCAACATTATCAAGCTAACTCTCACCTTGGAGTCTACAACCCAAATTCATCTATGATGGGTGCAGTGGGCTGTGCCATTCCTGCTGACAACTGTAAATACAACACCTATACACATATGTCAGAATGGGGTCAAAGACCTCACTTCTGTAGTAGTAACATAAGGGAAATCAATATTCCAGTTGAGAATGATATCAATGATCTTCAGTCTGATTTCAATACCTGTCTGCAATTCACTGAGCATTAATTTACAAACAATCATTCAGAATATACTGAGGAGGATTTTCCACTGGAGCAGTGCCACCTCCCACTGGAAGTAACAAAATGTAGACTATCTCCATCCCAGCAATGCACCAATAATGAGACTGTCCAATGTATTCTTCTTTTTTTGCACAACTGAAATGCTGGACACAAAAAATGGCAAGCATAGTCTGGGCAGTTGTGAACAATTGCATAGAATTGGGCCACCTTGAAGGTTATCAGCTGTTTCCCATCCCTTCCCAGTCTGTCTTCCGTGAGGCTGGGCTTGGAGGAAAGGCACTTAAACTTATAACATTATGGTGGAAATTAACCATTATGTTGCCAATGAGAGTATAGTCCTTTAATTGTTTTCTGTGCTGCATCAAACATTTAATATTATCTGCACGCAGTCATTTTTGTGTGATAATTTATTAGCAGTTTTATAATGCAGAAGCCATGAACGTTAACTTATTCATAGTAGGAAATGAAGTCAGTCTGGAAATGGTGATGAGGAGATTCGAAAATTGGATTTAAACATTTATAGAGTGTAGAAGGAAAATAATATAGCTGGGTAACAGGTTGCATTGTTTTGAAATCCATGGAGGGAAGGTTAGAGCAGAGGATGCTATGGTTAATTTTGATTTCATTGCAATGAGGGCATAATAGATTTATTCATAAGGCACTCACATTAGAATTATAGAATCATACGGTAAAGAAGAGGCCATTTGGCCCATCGGCCCATCAAGCCTTCACTGCCAAAACTACTCCCAATTTATACTAGTCCCACTTTCCAGCATTTGGCCCACAGTCTTGAACACTAAGATCTTTCAAGTGCTCGTCCAAGTATGTTTAAAGATTGTGAAATTTCCTGCATCAGCTACCTTCTCTGGCAGTCCATTCCAGATTCCCACCAACCTCTGGATGAAATTTTCCCTCAAATCTCGTCTAAACCTCCTTCCACCTTAAAATATTGCCTCTTGTTGACCTTTCAACTAACAGGAAAGGTCTATCCACATTTATATCCACCCTGTCCATGCCTCTCATCATTTTATACACTTCAATCCCATTTTATCCATCTCTGCTTTTAAAGAAAACAACAGAAGCTAATCCACTCTCTCTACAGAGCTAAACTTCCCCATCTCAGGCAACAATCTTTGCACTCCCTCCAGTACAATGACATCTTTCCTATCATGTTGTTAGCAGAACTGCACACATTACTCCAACTGTGGCCTAATCAAAGTTTTGTACAGTTCCAACATAACATGCCTGCTCTTATAATCTGTGCCACGACTGATAAAGGCAAGATTCCCATATGCCTTGGTAACTACCCTATTAACCTGGTCTGCCACCTTTAGGCATCTGTTGACAGATAATTAATATCTTTTCAGCACCCCTAGGCATCAAATTTATTCCAATATTTATGTTAGAACTAAAATGGAACTCATTGCATAGACATTCCAGAAGTAGCACAAGTAGTAGTGTCTTAGAGGAAATGAGATTTTAGAATCAAATACGATAATATCACAAGGACACATTGTAAGGAAGGTTTTCTTTGTGCACTGTGGAGTGAAACAATAAGTTTGTTCTCTTTGAACCATTTAGGATCTTACTATATATACTGTACATGCAAGGAGAGTCACCAACCTGAAACTTTGGGTAAAACCACCATTTAAGCTCATTTGCCAATTCACTTTTCCTTGCTTTGCTTTCAATGCCTCATTATTGCCCTTGTTTAAGTTATTAAAAAAAAGTCTCAAACCAACTCCTCTCTCCCTCAAACTGAATGTAGAATTAAATCATATTATGGTTTCTGATAAATAGGGCTTATAATCTTATAGCAAAGGCACCCATACCTCATTGCTACATGTGAGGTCTGGTATAGTCTGCTCCAGAAAGTGCTGTTCTAAAAAACAATCACAAAAGTACTCCATAAACTTGGCAACCAGGCTGCTTTGCCCACCTGACTTTTCCAGCATACATGTAGATTTAAATCTACCATGATTCACTTTGTGCTTTTCTAACAGGCTCCCATCATTTTTCCTTTATGCTCCACTTTCCATTATGATTATTATTAAGGGAAAAAGAGTAATTAGGGAGAGAATAGGGCACCTTAAAGATCTATGAGGCCATCTATACGGAACCACAGGAGATGGGTGAGATCCTAAAAAAAATTTTTGCATCAGTATTTACTGTGGAGAAAGGTAGGGAAGCAAGGGAACTTAGGAAATAAATAGTGATGTCTAGAAATGAGTCCAGACTACAGAAGAGGAGATGCTGGAGGTGTTAAAACACATAAAGATAGCTAAATCTCAGAACCTGATCAAGTGTATTCCAGGACAATGTGGGAAGTTAGGGAAGAATGTGCAAGACCCCTACTGGTGATATTTGTATCATTGACAGCCAAGAGTGAGGTGTTGGAAAACTGGAGAGTGGCTAGTTTTGTGCTATCATTTAAAATAGACTGCAAGGAAAAGCCCAGGAACTATGGATCGGTGAGCTTGACAACATCGGTGGGTAAGTTGTCGGAAGGGATTCTGAGAGATGTGATCTACACGCATTTGGAAAGGCAAGGACTGATTAGGGATAGTCATCAGGGCTTTGTGCATGGGAAATTGTGTCTCTTAAACTTGATTGAGGTTTTGAAGAGGTGACCAAGAGGAAGGCAGAGTGGTAGATGTTGTCTACTTGGTCTTTAGCAAGGTCTTCGACAAGGTTCCTCACGGTAGACTGGTTAGTAAGGTTAGATGAGATGGGATCCAGGGAGAGCTAGCCAATTGGATATAAAATTGGCTTGACGGTAGGAGACAGAGGGTGGTGATAGAGGGTTATTGTTCAGACTGGAAGCCTGTGACCAGTGGTGTGCCAGCAGGATTGGTGCTCGGCCTACTGTTGTTCATCATTTATATAAAATGATTTGGATGAGAATTTCGGAGTCGTGGTTAGTAAGTTTGGGGATGACATCAAAATTGGTGGAATTGTGGACAATGAAGAAAGTGTTCTAAGAGTACAATGGGATCTTGATCAACTGGACCAGTGGGTCTAGGAGTGGCAGATGGAGTTTAATTTAGATAAATGCAAAGTGTTTTATTTTGGTAAAACAAATCAGGACTTGCGTAGTTAATGGTAGGATCCTAATGTGTGTTGTCAAACAGAGAGATCTGGGGGTGCAAGCGCATAGTTCCTTGAAAGTGGCACCACAGGAAGACAGGATGGTGAAGAAAGTGTTTGGCATGCTTGCCTTCATTCCTCCAAGCATGAAGTACAGGAGTTGGGACATCATGTTACAGCTATACAAGACATTGGTAAGGCCAAATTTGGAGTACTGCGTATAATTCTGGTCAATCTGCTATTGGAAGGATGTTATTAAACTGGAAAGGGTGCAAAAAAAGATTTACAAGCATGTTACTGATCCTGGAGAGTTTGAGTTATAAGGAGAGGTTGGATAGGGTGGGACTTTTATCCCTGGAGTATAGGAGGCTGAGGTGTGACCTTATAGAGGTTTATAAAATCATGAGAGGCATAGATAAGGTGAATAGCCATATCTTTTCCCCCAGGTAGAGAAGGGTCTGCCTGAGGTGGGGTGGCCCCAGTGCTAACCTGACACACAGTTTGTAAAGAGATCATTATGGGAGGCAGTAGGGTTAAGGAACAATGGTATATTTCAGAGATCTCAAAGGAGATGTTATGCTTTGCATTTTTTTTCAGTAAAAGCTACAGAAAACATACAGCTAGTGGTCTCCAGCAATCCCGTTATACATTTTATACACTGTCACTGGATGGCGATGGTACCATGGATTTACTGATTGAAATGGCAAATTTGTACCTGAAGCCCCCATGTGAGCCCAGTCCCAACTAAAGTGGCAGCAGGTGAACGAGGTCAGAAATCGCACGACACCAGCTTTATTTGAAATCACAAGCTTTCAGAGCTTCAGTCCTTCTTCAGGTGTTAGTGAGAGAGGTAGTATCAGACACAGAATTTATAAGTAAAAGATCAAAGGTTCACACCATTGATGAGGATGTACTAAACAAACCTAAGATGCTGTTAAATCTTTAATCAGTTAGAAGGTTTTAATTGATTAATATGTATATGTAAATCCCCAAATTCCTTTCAAGTCATGGTCCTGAGAGAACTAAAGGTTTTATCAGTGTAAAGAAGCGGTGACATCTTAGGTCAGACAATGCATACTAGTGTGTGAGACCTAGTTTAGAATTGTTTGTGTTCTAGTTTGGAGTTAGACTGGTTTTATTTCTAAAGTAGGACTTTATAAAACACCATATTGACTGACCATCTATAAATTGTGTGCAACACCGGCACCTCCACAGCAGGTGGAAAGATAGTGAGAGCTTTTGATAAATACTTTTGGTTTTCATATCACCCTACTGTACCCCTGAACCTCCTCCTCTAACCCTTCCCTTCCAAGGGAGCAGATATGAACTCATGCTAATACAATACAGTCTCATGCACCCTTTGTCCTAAGAGCTGACCATTGCAAACTCCTTGGGAGGTCAAAAGGAACAAAGGCCTGGAGAAAATTAAAGGGAATACTCTTCAAATAATGAGGAGGGAATAGTCCAGAGAAAGAAAATGCTGGCTGTTTTGTTGTTTTGTTCCTCAATGGGCCCGCGCAAAGTTCTCAAAAATTGTTCCAGCTGTAGATATCAAATAATTTTATTACACATTGTGTTGTCTTATGTAAAAGTGCTCAAACAGCATTATTGTCATGTACCAATGGCAACCAAAGGACTTGCAGTACTGGAAGTAATACAGCCATAATGTTAGCTATTTTAAAATATTGATAAATTGAAATTTATGTTTTTATTATGGAATCTGTTCTACATAGGTGTGATTTTAGTATTTCTTAATGTTATGATTCTGTAACAACGGGCCAGAAAGACCTATCTGAGAATAAGTGACGCTAATTGACTTGTTGACTAAATTGCTGAAATTGAGAAGCAATGTCAATGTTGTGATTCGGGACCACATGAACCCCTCACCTTTCAACAACTTGAGGAAAGGATGGAGAAATAAACAAAGCAAATGATGATACAAGAAACAGAGCATATTGGAGTTAAATTAGCTACAAAAAGAATGTTTTGAGAGAGAATTAAGAAATGACTAAAAGTAAAAGTAATAAAGAACAAATGCAAGAGGAGATTACAAGCTGTTTGTTTTTGTGAATTGGTCCTTGAGAAGTTACTGACTGAATGGAGTAGTAAGTGCTTGAATGTCCAAACATTCTTCTGCCATTAATTGTTGAACCCAGTGCTCCCATCACTCTTGGTCACGAAGAATGGAACTGCTTTCATGGGAACATTGGAATTGACTGATTTTTTTTTAAAAAAAATGTTCCCCTACCATCCTGTTGGTGATGATCAGTAATCACAGATCAGAATGGTTAATATGTAGAAGAAGGCCCTTCAGTCCATTGTGTGTGTACTTTCTGTCTCAGCATTTTGACTTGGTGCTAATCTTCTGCCTTTTCCCCATTACCCTGCATGTTGTGTCTATTTAAATACTTTTCCATTGCATCTCAATTGAACTTGCCTCCACATTTCCAGGAAATACATTCCAGGCACAAACTGCTTGCTGTGGGGGGAGAAATAAGTTTCTGTCATTTTGCATTTGCTTCTTTTATAAAACCCTTTAAACTGTGCCCTCTCATTTATAAACCCGTTACAAGCAGGAACAGTTTTCCCCTGACAACAAGGTGCAGGGCTGGATGAACACAGCAGGCCAAGCAGCATCTTTGGAGCAGAGAGGCTGACGTTTCAGGCCTAGACCCTTCATCAGAAAAGGGGGAGGGGAAGGGGGTTCTGAAATAAATAGGGAGAGAGTGGGAGGCGGATAGAAGAGGGATAGAGGAGAGGATAGGTGGAGAGGAAACAAACAGGTCGAAGAGGCGGGGATGGAGCCAGTAAAGGTGAGTGTAGGTAGGGAGTTAGGAAGGGGATAGGTCAGTCCAGGGAGGACGGACAGGTCAAGGGGGCGGGATGAGGTTGGTCGGTAGGAGATGGAGGTGCGGCTTGAGGTGGGAGGAAGAACAGGTTAGGGAGGCAGGGACGAGCTGGACTGGTTTTGGGATGGGGTAGGGGGAGGGGAGATTTTGAAACTTGTGAAATCCACATTGATACCATTGGGCTGCAGGGTTCCCAAGCGGAATATGAGTTGCTGTTCCTGCAACCTTCGGGTGGCATCGTTGTGGCACTGCAGGAGGCCCAGGATGGACATGTTGTCTGAGGAATGGGAGGGGGAGTTGAAATGGTTCGCGACTGGGAGGTGCAGTTGTTTGTTGCGAACCGAGCGTAGGTGTTCTGCAAAGCGGTCCCCGAGTCTCCGCTTGGTTTCCCCGATGTAGAGGAAGCCACACCGGGTACAGCGGATGCAGTATACCACATTGGCAGATGTGCAGGTGAACATCTGCTTGATGTGGAAAGTCTTCTTGGGGCCTGGGATAGGGGTGAGGGAGGAGGTATGGGGATAGGTGTAGCACTTTCTGCGGTTGCAGGGAAAAGTGCCGGGTGTGGTGGAGCTGGAGGGGAGTGTGGAGCGGACAAGGGAGTCACTGAGAGAGTTGTCCCTCCGGAAAGCAGATAAGGGTGGGGAGGGAAAGATGTCTTTGGTGGTGGGGTCGGATTGCAGATGGCGGAAGTGTCGGAGGATGATGCGTTGGATCCGGAGGTTGGTGGGGTGGTACGTGAGGACGAGGGGGATTCTTTTTTGGTTCTTATTGCGTGGACGGGGTGTGAGGGATGAGGTGCGGGAGATGTGGGAGACACGGTTGAGGGCGTTCTTGACCACCGAGGAGGGGAAGTTAACGGTCCTTGAAAAACGAGGACAACTGAGATGTACGGGAGTGGAATGCCTCATCCTGGGAGCAGATGCGGCGGAGGCGAAGGAATTGGGAATAGGGGATAGCATTTTTGCAGGAAGGTGGGTGGGAGGAGGAGTATTCTAGGTAGCTGTGGGAGTCGGTGGGCTTGAAATGAATATCGGTTTCGAGGTGGTTGCCCGATATGGAGACAGAGAGGTCCAGGAAGGGGAGAGAGGTGTTAGAGATGGTCCAGGTAAACTTAAGGTTGGGGTGGAAGGTGTTAGTGAAGTGTATGAACTGTTCGAGCTCCTCGTGGGAGCACGAGGCGGCGCCAATACAGTCATCAATGTAACGGAGGAAGAGGTGGGGTTTAGGGCCGGTGTGGGTACGGAAGAGGGATTGTTCCACGTAACCTACAAAGAGGCAGGTGTAGCTTGGGCCCATGCGGGTTCCCCTGTCTACTCTGTCCAGAGCCCTCATGATTTGAAAACTTCTTTGAGATCTCCTCTTTGCATTCTCCTCTGTAAGGTAATCAGTCTCAACTTCTCCACTCTATCTTTACATCTAAAATTTCTCATCCCTGGAAACATTCTCATAAACCTCTTCTTCACACTTTTGGATGTGTTTTTGTTCTTCCTGAAGTGTGGTATGCAGTGCTATACAGAATACTCTAGCTGCTGTTATTACTGGATCCCAAACAGGTACTTGGCTTGATAGATCATATTTTGAAACACAATAGAAATTGCTGGAGAAACTCAGCAGGTCTGGTAGCATCTGCGGAGAGAAAAAAGGCAGAGTTA